TTTTAAGGAGTAATGTTCTTAAATCGATTAAAGTAATATTCATACGACTATAGTGATCGAAACAACCCAGCAATAACTGAATGGAAGGCCGGGAATGATAATCAGCAGTGTTGATGAGAAGATGAGAAGCAGATGTGCCAGCTCAAGAGCAGAAAGGTGGTGATCTGTGCAGCCACACCCACAGGTGACACAAACAGAGAAATAAGGGGAGGGGGAGGAAAACACAGGAATCCTACCATAAGCTGTGATAGCTTGAAAAGAAACAAACTGCATTTCCTGCAGACTTTTATACACGTACAACATGCGAGCAGAAATCACGAAGCACACAAACACACAGACACACTGTTACATTCCAGCACTCCTTATCTGCCCCAGCAGTGTTGACTGACACTCTCCACTTGAGGAGATTAAGTGTGCTCAAGCTGTGCCGACACAGCTTGACGTCCATTTAGTCTTAAAACTCATATGAAGCGTCTCAGTGAGCTCCCTGCCAGCGACGTGCACACATCATCCAGCACGCTCCTCAATTTCCTCATACACACCGACTACTTTATTATCACTGCTGTCATTGGAGGAAACAGTTTAAAGGGTCATCTGTGAGCTAAGTTGAATTTGGGACCAGTGGGACTGTGAAACTGGGGGGAAAAAACCCTGATGTAGATTTTTAGAAAATGAGAATTCTTTTATGTGCTCTTAAGAACACTTTTAGATATGTGCGTTTCAACCAGCGTCAGTTTTCTGAGGCTTAATTGCCACATAGAGAGACGAAGCCGGCAGCGTTTGTAGTTAAAACAGCAGCAGATTTAGCCAACACACTAATAATACACACAAGCCAGCTGGGTATTTGCAGTGTACAGATAACTTTCAAACAGCAGCTGATGGTCTCTCTAAAAGCCTGTTAACCTTATTGTAATATAATTTCTTCTTCTTTTTCTTTTAAACCATTTTACAGTCTGAAGGGATAATTATAGAAAGTTCTGATATTAACAGGAGGCGCTTTAATGGAGCAAACTTATTATCCTGCTGGACATGGTCAGCAAGCTGATATGCTCCGTTGATACTAAGACATCTAATGTTTTCCAATCTTCTGTAGCCCCAATTTCCTGTTATTAGCTAACAGGAGCGCCACTGATGTGTTCTTGTGCTGCTGTAACCCATCTGCTTCAAGGTTCGACAAGCGTTTAGCGATCCTCTTCTGCTTTGCTTGGTTGTTGGAGTGTCTGTCGCCTTCCCATCAGTTCAGAGCAGTGTAGCCATTCTCCTCTGACCTCTGGCAGCAACAAGGCATTTTCATCCAATGAACTGTTGATTACTGGATACTAGCTCTTTTTCAGACCTTTCAGAGACGGCTGTGCAGGAAAGTCCCAGTAGATCAGCCTTTTCTGAAGCACTCAGACCAGCTTGCCTGGGACCAACAACCACGCCACATTCATGGATCTTTCTTCCCCATTACGATGCTTGGTTTGAACTTCAGCAGGTCATCTTGACCATTTACGTATGCCTAAATGCACTAAGTTGTTCCCACTGAGTTGGCTGATCACTCCTTTGTTTCAACAAGCAAGCACCTAAAAAAAGTTGGCAGTGAGTGTATACACAGTAAAGTTGTAGCATTTTGCAGCTGCAAAATCTAACTCTGAATATGTACACGGTGCGACGCATCCCTTTGACCTGACTGATCCCATGTGCCTTTTAGTGTTTCATGAATAGGTCACTTCCCCTATGTATCTTCAAAGAAGATTTACCAGCTGCAATGCAATGAATAATGCACATGCACAACCGCAAGCTAGTGGTTTGGTTATCAAGCAGCTGATATGAACCAAGGGCATTAATCTCCAGGTTTTTGCTCAAAATCCACATTTTCAGTCTCGGCTGTGGAAAGTAAGTAAGTAGTCCACTTGATTTATGCTGATTGCAGATGCTCTTCTCATTTAAAGAATTGCTAACTTCTGTCTGAAACCACCAAGTGAAATGATAACAACAGCACTCTGCAGATAGCCAGTAAAACTGGAGCGCTGCATCAGGCAGTGAACCTCACACATTAGATTTGTGCCACCAGCTTTCGCTGCCTGAAAATTTGGTCATATGTGTTGTTTACCCACACTTGAGGCACCTAATATTGAAGGCGTGGAACTAGCCCCCACAGCCAGCGTACCACTAAAGCATCACTTTATCTTACTGCCAATAGGTGGGCCTGTGGTTCACTTTCCCCAAATGACTTGTCACTTTTTGATGTAAGGAAGCTTTATTAAGAAAGAGTCAAAGGGGGCAAAATGTAACGGCAGAGAGAAGAGTCTGTGTGGGAGGGGCGATTGGTGTTAGGTTGTTGATTGGCGCTCCCTGGGGCGCAGTGATGAAGGAAACCTCTGAAGGAGAAATGGGGAAAAAGGTTTCTTGAATCAATATCATCTAAGAGAGGTTTGCATACAAAGTGGGGCCCAAGATGGCAGAGATCCTAATAAAAGCTAATGCAGTCTTTTAAAAAGAAAAACTAAGTTAAGACTGAATGCCGAACATTCCACAATTAGTTTGCACAAAATCAAAGCTTTTACTTATTTTATCAGTGGCAGCTTGTGACTCAGCATTATTAGTGAACAGGCAAAAGACGTAAAACGCATCCTGGAGCCCAATTTTATTTCTTATTTAGTTTATTTATTTCCCCATTTTGCTGCGGGTTTACTGAGCTGTAGGAGTCGAGCCACTAAATTCAGAACTGAATGTGCGCAATTGTTTTTGTCTTTGTGTTGGTTTGTTTTCCTGTTATCTATTTGTTATTCTGACAGTAAACCAAACTGTGTCTCAGAAAATGAAAATGGGTTTTATGTATGGAGTAATAACCTAAATGGATTTCCCTCTCTCCCTCTCTCTGTCTGTCTCTTTCTCTGCACCGCTCCGGGAGCCTGTGGCTATTTATCTGCCTGTGTCTAATTATTCATTAGTGAACACAGAACAAAGCACAGAAAATATAGTTGTGCGCTCAGTGTAGCAAACCAGCTTTCTCTACAAACTGATGCTCCCGCTTTCTGTTTTTCATCCATCTCCAACTTCTTGGTGTCCATTTGAGCTGAATTTTCACACGCTGTGGCCGTGCATCTAAAAACTGCAGCAAATCTCCATGTTGCAGATGAAGAACAGATGCAGGGCTCTGTAATAAAATCAACCATGAACTATCACTCAGTATGACCATCCTACTACTGTTTTCTCTGTGAATAATATTTGTACCACTTTGGCACTTTTTATAACTCACAAAATAAGCTACAAAAAGTCATATATTCAGATTTTGCAGAATTAAAATGTTTTTACTCAATGCATTGCACAAATGGGCAGCAGAGGACGCTGTAGCGTTCCAAGAAAGAGAAGAAAATCAAAGCCACTACATAACTTGTGTTACATATGAACATACACGTGCGCAAATACACGTGTCAGGATTTGTTTAAGTCAGAAAAGAAGAAAAAAAAGCATGAAAAGAGCACTGGAAAATAAAATCATCTCTTTAATATTCTAGATCAGGGGTAGGTAACTCCAGGTGTCGAGGGCTGTTGTCCTGCAGGTTTTAGATCTCACCCCGGGTCAACACACCTGAATCAAATGATTAGTTCATTACCAGGCCTCTGGAGAACCTCAACACGTGTTGGATTAAGGACACATCTAAAACCTGCAGGACACCGGCCCTAGAGGCCTGGAGTTCCCCTGCCCCCGCTTTAATGGGATGTTGCTTCAAAATCTAGAACAGGGTAGGCAACTCCAGGCCTCTAGGGCCGGTGTCCTGCAGATTTTAGATGTGTCCTTAATCCAACACAGCTGATTCAAATGGCTAAATGACCTCTCCAACATGTGTTGAAGTTCTCCAGAGGCCTGGTAATGAACTAATCATTTGATTCAGGTGTGTTGACCCAGGGTAATATCTAAAACCTGCAGGACACCGGCCCTTGAGGCCTGGAGTTCCCCACCCCTGCATTAAAGCATGCAGGTGTAGGGCTGCGAAATAGTGGACTTTATAGACTGCCTGTCAGGAGCAGTCTGTAATAGCAGCACTGCAGAAGCTATTTGTTAGACAATCCTGTCATCTAGTGGTGCTGTCTGTGTTATACACACCAGCTTTGATGTGAAATGATTTAAGTGCTCATCCACCATTCAAAAGCCTTGACAGCACGACGGCCTGTTTGATGGTGAGGTTTCATTGATCTGTTTGAAACTATTACAACTCTATTTGATGTCTTCAGACTCTTGGAATAAAAACAAGCTTTTACTTGTTTTTATCTTTGGGAATTTCTTCCACATTTGCTTCCCTGCTGTCTGAAATGACTTTTACTGGTCCTGTTGTCTCAGGTGATTACACCCAAAACATCACATCACTCACACGATGTGTAAAACATGACAGAAGCGCCCGATTTGAAGCCTCTCCAACATGTCACAAAAATAATGTTAATACGGGTTGAGAACAACTTCCAGTTTAGCATTTTTACTGTTCCCAGAACCAGTCCTTACCTTCCCTCTCACCTGCAGCACTGTCAGGCACACGATGGGATCTTACCAGTGCTCAGCCAATGAGCATCACGCATTTCACCGGCTCTGGTCTGCAACAAAAGTTGGGGGGGACGGGGCTTGCTACTAACACATGGTGACCGGTAGATGGCGCCATTGCTCTTTGAAAATTCTTCTTTTCTGTGGCGGCAGTGAAATCCCTGAATGAGTGAAGTAATTGTCCATTGAGGCGCGATCCATTCCAACCACAGACAAACGAAGGCCCGCCGCTCTGCATGATAACGTTATTTTAACAGCTGGGGGAAGGATTTAGAATTGATACGTGCACTGCTAAAAAAATAATAAATAAAATAAAAATGGTTATTATTATTATTATTATTATTATTATTATAACCATGAATGAGAGGCTCATCATGAGAGGATTTGAATATTAAATTATGCAAAGCCATGCTGTTTCAAAAAAAAAATAATAATAATAATAATAATATAAGAGTAAAGAAAGCATTATACTTGTTCGATAAACGTTTAATTTGTTTCACCTTCTTCTCCAGTTACAGTCATAAACTTTACACTTTTTTCTTCTTGTGTGCGATTTCACGGCAGTTGTGACGTTACGCAGTCATGCAACTGTTTCACCTACAGAGTTAATCTGCATAGTCACCTTAACAAATGTAGTTTGGAAAATGTAACTGTCACTATTTTATACAACACGCTGATTTAATGAAGGGAACGTTACTGTAAACCAACTATAGGAACCTTCGGGTGTCCACCAGCTGAATCTGACCTGCTGGCGCGTTACAGAAGCATATAATCTCATACCATTAAAAAAAAACTTTTTGTTCTCCTGTACAGCTACTTATTGATCAAAGCTTCGCTCTACATGTACTTGAAACTATGCTGGTGGCTGTAGTAATATCGGGCAAACTATATAAGAGCGAGAAGAAAAAACATCTGTGTCTGACCCTGAGTGAACCAGAAGAGTCAAAACCCCAAAGGAGTTAGTTTATTAAATGTTTTATTATAGCGGGAATATTGGCTATTTGTGTCAAGTCAGATGTGTGCGTGTTGTGAGCCAGATTGGCCCTGACTGGATTATAAATATAAAATATTCTGTCTGCTTTGTAAGATTCTGTAGAAAATGTCCTTTTTTTCTTGTTAAAAAAAGAAGAAGTAGAATGTACTGTTATATTTGTCATTTTTAACCCTGCTATCTATCCAGATGAAATGCCTTGGATTTGCTGTAAATTGATAGCATTCTGTGTCCTTTCCATATCAGAATATCTGGGGTGACCTTTGCAGAATAAATAGATTTTACGCAGGAAAGGTTTATCCGTGAAAGCATCATTAATAAGTGTGATGTTCCACTTGTTTAAAATAACATTTATTTTTTTCCAGCGTTTTGATACATTGTGACAGCACAGCGTGTAACATCTGAGGAGGAACTAACTGAATCCAACACTTTGTCACAAAATATTTGCGCTGACTAATGGATAAATGAAAAGTCAAATATAGGCATAGTGATTTCATATTACCAAATGCAATATATAATACAGGCAGTTGGACATAAACTAAAAACAAAATGAAATACAAAGGTGAGATAACTGAAATAATACATAAGAAAAAGAAACATGAATGGCATTTACACGTTATAGATCAACTTTTACAGCAGGAAACGGGGTTAACAAGTAAACTACGTGTTTTAATAACTTATTTTACTCGTGCGTGTGCGCGCGCGCGTGTGTATGTGGTAAAATTTGATAGGCTCTAAAAAGTCAGAACTCTTTGATAAATAATTTCTTCGTACTTCGTACTTTTGCTTTTGTGTGTCAGTTTAGTTTTTACTCTTCCAGCCTGATCGGGATTCATTTCATTCTGCAGTCTATAAATACATTCGGTTTTACGTCATTTTACTGATGGCGTAGTAAAGTTCAAACATAGGGGTTGCCATTCAAACTTTTGTGGTCTAACATATAAAATTATTTTGGAGAGTTACACATAAGTGGTCTAGTTTCTTTTCTTTTTTTTTCTTTTTTTTTAAATCCCTCTCAGATCATTTGACTACAAGCCAGATAATCCTATTATGTACAGCAGCCCGTAGCCAGAACACATCACACATTTTCAACACTTGTGGCTACAAATACAATGGAATGTGTCTCTATGATCAGTCCACCGGCTTCACTGTTTCTCCGGCGTGTTGTTGACCAAAGGCCCATACAGGCCGCTGGCATAGCCTTGCTCCTTGTGCAGCATTGTCCTGTCTCTTATCAGGTCGCTAAATGCATAGTCCATTGGAGGTCTGAAGCCCAAAGTGGGCATGAGCCCGGTGGTGGAGTAAGGTGTCATGAAAGCCAGTCCCCGGCTGTGCGCAGAGTAGGCCAGCCGCAGCGGGTTCAGTCCCAAGTGTGTGCCCAGCGGGTAGGTGCTAGGGTCTGCGCCAAAGTGCGGTGCGTTTGGCTGCAGAGGAGAAAACGCAGAGCGGTTGCTCAGCGTCATAGCCCCGGGGAGCATGGGCCTCGTCGGGGCTGTTGTGGTTGCGGATGCCGCCGGAGGCTGCTGCGCATTTTGGAGCATCCTCTCTGCCGTCCACGTCTCGTCTGGCCCGGCCTTGTTGGGGCCCTGAGCGCCGCTGTTGTTGAGGATCTGCTCGATGGCCTGCACCACATCTTTGCCACAGCCCTGCAGGACGAGCTCCAGGACGCTTCGCTTGTGGCTGGGAAATACTCGGGTGAGGATGTCGATGGCGTTCATGTGCCGAGAGGCCGCAGAGGAAGGGGAAGGCTCCTGCTCATCTTTGTCGGTCTCGGAACCCGAATCCGAGCCGATGGAGCTGACGGACCCTGGAGTTTCTTCTCCGTCTTTCAAAGGCTTGGATACCGGTGAGCTGATGAAAGACTCGCTATCCCCGTTCTCCGAACCAGAGCCTCCGTGCCGGCCGTCCGGGGACGAGATGCCGGGGGCTGAGTCACCTTCGGTGGAAGCCGGTTTCCCCGCAGATGGTTGAGGTGTGGCGGACCCGGAGAGCTGGTTCTTAGGAAACAGCTCATATTTCTGGATGCTTGAATCTGCTGACAGAACCAGAGTGTGTAAGATTGAATGAAAGCATAAAACAGAAGGCCATCAAAAGCGTATCAGCACAGAGTCATATTCAGTACAACAATCACATCAATAAAGAGGCAGTAGAGCGACAGACATACCAGTATTCAAACAGCAGATTTAACACGTGAGCTCAAATATCAGAATTTAATCTGTAAAGGTTAAACAAACATCATCAGCATTTATGCTGTGACGGCTGATTAGGCTCAGTGTTTAGGGTTAAATGATTCTGCGTTTAACAGAGTCGCAGTTTGATGACAGATTTTAGTTTAACACACTGATTTGCTACCTTCTCACGCGCTTCTTAAACATTACAGCGAAGCTTGATCCGCTCACCTGAGTTGCTTTCGCTGCTGACGGAACCAAACACTTCGTAGTTCGGCCGGGGTGGGATGATGCCGTTGGCGGCGGCGATAGCGAGTCCCTCCGCCGTGCCATAGAGCAGCTGCAGCTCCCGGGCTTCGTTCTCCTCCTGCGCCTGCTGCCGCCGGAGCGCCACCTGAGCCGCCATCACCCGCTGCCTCTCTGCGATCAAGGTGCACTTGGCGCACATGCAGTCCTTCCAGCGGCAGTAGCGCTTGTGGCCCTTCAGCGCGGACACCACGCCGTGGTTCCTGCAGCGGGCGCACTTCGGAGTGCGCGGGTACTTGTCTGCGGCCCGCAGGAGGATCGGGGGCCCTCGCAGCAGGTTACCGGCCATGGACACCGGAATGGAGGCTGCCGCGGCCGCTGCCGCCGCTCCGGGGTGGACTTGTGAGGCGGAGGAGGCTGTGGGGAGCTCCGGTCTCAGATCCATGCCCGCGTTCCTCACCAGCAAAACTAACGTTTTAACGAGAAATCGGCGACGTTTGAACGATCTGCTTTAGTTAAACCGACGTTGGACTGATCACATCTGTCCGGCGGTTCTTAGCACCTCCGGGCAACAGGTGAAGCCACCGATTTCTGCTGTCAGACAGAAACAGGAGGGGAAAAAATAACAATTTATGATCGAAAGTCTGGTGGAAACTGTCCAAGTGTTCTCTGCCGAAGAAGCAAAAATCTGACTTTAAAGTCAACTTTAAATCCGACAAGAGTCTGAGCAGAGAGGAGCGATCATTCCTCCCCGACAGAAAGTTCAAACTGTCCAGGAGGAGCTGAGGTTGTTACTCGCCGCAGCCTGAGACACTAACTTCCTCCAGAGATTGTCAGTGGATACAGATCCCTCTCTCCTCTCTCTATTGTTGCTCCTACGTTTTCATTAGACAAATTTGACAACAATGTGGCGTCTGTCATTGGCCAAAGGGGGAAGGAGCAATCTGATTGGCTTGCCTCTTTTTTCAACTGTGTCCACCTGAGTTCTTTTTTCCAAATATCAAGTGTTAAGAATCTGAAGGGAGTTCCCGGAAAGCTCAAATCGATGCAGTGTATTACCCCCAAAACAGAATTTCATAGATTTAAAACAATAGCCCGTGTTTTTTTCCATTTATTGTGGTAAACCAGACTTCCGGTGCGATGTCAAACAGGACAATTAGAAATGTAATGAAAAAAAAAAAAAAAACTTAAAATGAAGGAAATTTTCAAACGTTCCAGGAAGTTTCTGTATATATCTCGATTTTAAAAACTAGTTTAACTTGGCGACATGATTGTTAGGATATGAAATCGCTATTCCTGCATCTACATCCAATCGCAGAATATTTTTAAGATTTAAAATACTCAAAATAAAAGATGATGCGTGACTGTAATCTCATCCGTAAAGGTAAGTATCATTTATTTCATTGGTTCAAAAAGAGGCAAGATTTTTCTCTGTCAACGCACAATATATATTTTTTCGTAATATATTTGCTACGGAAAGTGGAAGAAGCTGTCGATGCTGCTAAATGTCGCGGGAAAACCAGAGCGTTCACATTAATGTCAACGCCAAGCTTTAAATATTTGTTTCGCACACGATCCGTTTAAAAGTTTAAAAGTAAAGAAAATGTGCCACTTTTTGTTTCATCCATATACTGCGGACTGCATGAATATGTTGTTCTCTGCTTGGTGATTTAAACACGCGAGTTAGACCAGTTTTCATCCGAATTTCGTTTTTTGTCTTTTTTTCCTCCACATTTGAAGCTTGAAACGGTAACATAAATTATTAATGACGACTTTGGTTCTATATTAGGTGTTTCTCTTTTAGTTATTGAAATAATAATAATAATAATAATAATAATAATAATAATAATTTTTAAATAGTGTTTTCTTTTTTTAGGTTCCACAATTTCGTTTGCTCTGATTTTGTTCACCTCATATATAAAAAAAAAAATTCGTTTATTTCAGCATTTTTTTTTAAAAAAAATTGCATTTAAAAAAAGTAGTTGTTTATTTATTGCAAAAGCATTTTGATTAGATAATAAAAAGTAAGTAATCGCTGGGTAAAAATTTTAACATTAGTTTATCATTCATAGCTCGGCGAGTTTTAAAAATAAAATACTACCTGAACGGATATAATAATAATAATAATAATAATAATAATAATAATAATAATAATAATAATAATAACACTAGTATTGATAACGCTTAAAGACAGAAGAGCGGCTTTCCGTTTTAATTCTTTGCTCTGCTCCTTCTATGAACCGGGGAAAAAGAATATAAAATAAAAACTGGATTAACAAATTGCTTCCGCCCTCCTCTGTTGCCCTCCATAAAATAAGCGCTCTCCTTTGGGTTCTGCTTTGTCCTCCAGTCACCCTCCATTACCTGAAAAGCGATAACGCTCTAATGCTTCCTGAGATTTAAGAAGTCCGCCGCGCACAGAGCTACAAAAAGGGCATCGCGCGCAAGCCACCTGCTCCCTCACCTGTTCACTGATGATTCGTGCAGCTACTGGAACTCGGATTTTTTGAAAGTTATAGCTCTGATGGTTTAGTTCTGCTTTTTTTCCCCCCTTTTCTTTCATCAACAATTGCTTGCACCTTAGAGGCCGACAACAGTCTTTGTGATCCACAACAACATCTTTAGCTGGAAGAAATGGTTGCTCGGTGTGCAGCAGCGAGTGTGTGCAGCCCTTCCTCTCTCTCCCCTCCCAGGCTCATTGTTTACTTTCTGAATCACTGTAAGCAAATGCCATCTGTTTCCCTCGCCGCTGTCATCTGCACCTTAATTACCTAGCCAACAGGCTAATAGAGACGATATTAAAACTACATCTTTTTGACATTCAAAGTAATTATCTGCATGGGCGACGATCTTACTCGGATAAAAATTGCCCGTCCTGCACGCAAGTGAAAGTTGCACACAGCAGAAAGGGCCTGATGCTCACAGGAGAGATTATGGGCCTACAGCCTCACCTCAGGATGGCTGATTTAAAACTGCGCATTCAGAGTACAGCCAGGGAAACAGGAAGGTTTCCACACCAGCTTCTCTTATTACGCGCAATTTTCACTCTTAATAACAGTAGAAATAAAGTGACAATTACTTGGACTTGACACGTGTTTGCTGAGCTATATTTATCCAGGAGGAGCTCATAAGGCTTCTCTGCTGTTTTAATATCGTCGCAAGACTTTTAATTACGTCATTGCCGCCTCTGGTTGAAGTTACCGCTCATTTCTCGTCCACGTCAAGTTTGGTTTAAGTTCATTTGTGGAAAAATATGTATTATGATTAGGGGATTAGCTTCACCGGTATTCCCCCTGGTCCAATTAAAAATGCCCCCCCGCGCAATTAAAAGTGACTGTGGGCACTTTCGAAAAAAAAAAAAATCCGACATTCTTTTAACCACTTCATTAGGCCTGTGCATCAAAAACTATGCGATGCTTTCATTTCTTTCAGGAAGGCTACAGACGAATGGGTTTTTAACACCCTTTTAAGATCACAACAAAGGCCATGCTTGACCCAACATATGTAGCAGCATGTTTCCGCTGCCCCCGCACCCCGGTGCGGCTTTCTAGCGGCCTCTCCCACTGCCGCTGCCCCGCCTGCAGCCCGGCTGGGCCCGGATCCCCTCCCGCGCTCTCCCGCTGCAGCAGCCGGCTCTGTCACACAGAGGCAGAGGTTAGAGTAGCAGTTAGACAAGGGCCCGCGGAGAAAGGAAACGCACTGGTTTTTTTTTCTTCTTTCAGCTGAAGTATTTACACGCTTGACGGGCACACCGAGGAATACTCCGGGTTTATAGACAAGAGGTTGTTAACCTGCCACTTCACACCAGTTCTGCTGAGCTGGGGAAATGGATCGGTCTAAATGCATTCCCTTAAAGGCAAAGTCAGGAGAGCAGTGAAGATTAGAGAGCCACAGAACACAATGCTGTGGGAGTTTAAAACTGCCGTGCGCTCATATACGCACACACGCACACCAGGCAAATTCATTATATTAAGCATGAACAGCCTCGATAATGATTATTTCAAGGCCAAATATTTGAACAAATGCACTTTATTTGGCTCTGTGTGTGTGATATCTATAGTTTTCTACATAAGAAGGAAATGCCTTTACAAGATAACTAAAATTTGCCATATCTGTTGTAGTTATGATGTCATAAAAGCGGACTCTGGCTGTATTCATGATTTAGAAAGGCTCTGCGCTCACACAGAGAAGTACCAATGATTCCTTGTAAGCAGCGTTTTATTTAGGTTTTCGGCTGGTGAAAATGTGGGCTTCATTTGCCAAAAACCAACCTGCAGTAAAGCGGTGCTGCAGAATAAATAGCGCAGTGTGAAAAGGAAACAAACAAAGCGACTAAAGTGACACCGGTTACTCGCCAAGCCCTGCAAAAGTCAAACATATAGGCTAAATTTACGCAGGCCTGGCTGAGTGAGGCCAGACGGTGAAGAGGCACTTGAGCTAAAAAGGCAGACAGAGGTCTGTCAAGCATCACTCTTCACCCGCTAGAATAACACTTATTTGTAAATGGGGGATAACCCTGCCATGGCGTATGAATATTTCAAAGATTTGAAGGGTCCCTCTGTGCCAAAACTGTTGGCCAGCACTCAGGCAATCTCTCTCTCTCTCACACACACACACTCTCACAAAATACGTTTTTCTGCCCCCGAGGTAGGTTGGCAGGGATTATCTTTGTTTAATGAATGGGCTACAAGTATTCATCAACACGGCGAGATTATTGCACAGCCTATAGTCGCATATAACTCCAGCGTGTGTGTGTGTGAGTGTGAGCGAGAGAAAAAGAGGACAGAGACAGACCTACACACTGCAGCCAATTAAAACGCACTCTCCCCTGCTCTATCCCTCCACATCTGCCTCCTTTTCTCCACCAACGAATGGCGCAGAAAAGAAGGAAGCTCATGAATAGGCGCTCATTGAGATCACAGATGGAGTATGGCTTTCTTTTTGCTAGAAATTTGAGAAACACCATTGTCCCCAATCAAAACTCAATGTGTTCGCCTACAATGGTGTCGGCTTTGAGCTCCGCCGCTTCAATTGGCCTTGTTTTTGAAACTTGAAGTGTTCAGCACAAAGACTTGGCCCTCCTAGATGTCACCGTCGCTTCGCTTCAGTGTGTGAGAGTGTGTGTGTCTATGTGCGCCCAGAAGAGAGAGAGAGAAAACACAATTAATATGAAGCTGTAATTACTCCCCTTCACGCCACTGCACCCATTCAGGACCCCACTGGTCCATTTATTGCTTTATCCCATGTGGCTGATAATCCGAATACCACAGGTTTTTATAAGGCCTCTGTGGTGTTTTAAGGAGACAGATCTGGAGGTATGAGCGAGGGATGCGGTCCTCAGAAAACTGAGCGACAAGAGCGCACAGCAGCGGCCGAGGGATGGTTGACGCACATTTAATTATTCAATTAATATTTAAAATAAATCTATTAGCGCAATGGTCTGTAGGTATGTGCGGGAATTCAGTGCCATTAACAAAACAGATCTTCACCAATTAATTACGAGATACTTTATTAACCTTTTATATAAAACTGCATCTGTATTCACAAGATTTCTATTTGACATTTTCACATTCAGGCGTAAAAATATGTAACTGTTCTTTTAAAAAAAAATCTAATGAGAAGGATATGTTGGTAAATTTAGTTTTTTTTGGTTTTGGAGGATAACATTTTTTTTGTTAAGAGACGTCCCGTTTTTTGTTTTTCAAGCGAATGTACATTTAAACACGTTTAATTAGACCAGAGAGCGCCCCCTGCTACCGTCAGCTCTGCGGTGGATGCGACTGCTAAGGAAAAGAATATTTAAAATATTTAGGAATAAAACGGCACTAAAGAATAAAAACATAATTTTTGAGATTTTGTAACGATTTCATTCAACATCCGAGCAATAAAATGACGTTACCAACGCTACTGAAAATAAAATAAAAAAAAGGGCTACAATTCTGCATTGCGATAAGGAATCACTCCCTTTGGCACTGAGGAGCAAGAATGCTGCCTGATTGCTGTAAATGTGACATAAATCGAGACATTCTTGCTTTCCTCACAGCGGCAGCATAAGGTTTTACATATAATTTTCCAAGGCCCATCGACACTCTTCATAACAGGCTATAAATTAATTTTCATTATCCTAGATGAAGATTCATTTTTGTCCTATTATGCAAGTAAATGAAATCACTTACTGACCCATGTGGGATTGTTTCGGGGCCTGTACATGCGCATAAAAATGTGACACGTGGGGTGGAAAAAGATTAGTAAAAAAATTCAGGATGGATGAGTGCTGGAGAACAGTCATACAAAATCCTTAAATGATAAATAAAAACTCCTTATAGACAGCATGGGGATTTAACTGCCTGCCAACCCAGAAAACCTTAAATTATTTTAATGAAGGCTCGCTTCTCTTATTTCAAGATATTAACCCAATAAAACTGAATAATCTTTATTGACTTAGAGCTTGTGTCAAACTAACAAGGTGGCATCTGCTGCGGTTTTGCTCACACTAACACCCCGGACCGTGTATTAGAATAAGAAGAAACACAGAGAAGACATATTTAAATCAATGTAAGTATACTCTTCTTCTTTTCTATATCAGATTATCTGGAATTTAACTTGGCATAGAGGGGAAAAAACAGCTCTCTGAATTGAAGCATACAAGCTGAAACCCTGAAGAAGGATCTGTGCCCACACATTCATTTTTGTTTTTGAGAATTTAGAGCACTTTAAAGCCTCATGTTTTTACATTAGATTAGTTACATTAATTTATTTTAAGTTTTTGTTTAATCAAGATA